GGCGTGACTCCCGCGGGCGCCGGCCTCCAGCTGGCCCGCCTGGGTCTTCCGTGCCCCCCTGTGGCGGCGACCAGAAGTCCTGGGCCTGTGGTCCGTCCTGCCCGTCAGCTGCCCGCGGCCTCGCCTCGCCGGCGCCGCCCTCACCGCGCAGTTCTGTGCCGCCGGCCGCAAAGCTGGGTCTTCCTGGGAGGAAAAGGCCTGTTTCCAAAGAGCAGAGGTGGTAGGACGCTTCCTGGCAGGGTTCAGCGGAAGTCGGTTTTAAATGTAAAGAAGCCCGCCCTGGGGGCCGCCCTGTGGAGACGCCAGGCCGCCGTGGGTGCGCTGGCTCTGCCTGGGAAAATTACTTTCCTGACGAGTGAGATCTCTGTTCTCTATTGTGAAAGAATTGTAAATATATTTTATTCTTTATCTCAGTAAAAATTGACAGGGGTTTTGAAATGTAGCGCAGCATCTTGAGTCCTCCTAGACCACTGTCTCTGGGGAGTCTCTCACCCCGCACCTCTGGCCTGGACCCCAGTTCTGTGTGCACAAGCAGATACATCTTTAAAAATACTCAGGAATATAAAGTGGAGAAAGAAATGGATTTTAAAATAACCAGAAGTCAACAAATATTCAGAAAACTGATGGTCCCAAGCGTGGGCAGCTGTGATGTCTCCAAGTTTCTTTTGTTGCTTTCTCTCTCTTTTTTTTTTGGTGCTACTTTTCTTCTTGTCTTTTCCCTTCTGCTTGTCGTCCCTTCCCCTGAGGTTGCCCTCACCTGCAGTGCTCAGGGATGACTAGCTGTTCCCCACAGCTGCCAGCCCTGGTGCGGCCAGGTTGGCATCGGTGGGACAGTGGTGGCGGTTGTACTGGGAACCGCCACTAGGTGGCAGGAGCGCGCCGTGCGCCACCCTCCTAAGTGTTGCGCGCTCTGGTCTTGCCCCCGGTGGTGGGGCGCTGTGGGACCCAACTGCACTACTTCGGTCCCCAGTAACTTTCAAGCCTCCTCCTCAGCGGCGGCGGGTTCTTTCTGGTTTTATGCTGCTGCAGGATGGTGGTTTAGGGATGAATTTGGCATGTGGTCGCCACTTTTTAGCACACTCATTTTTATTCTCTTCCTATAGTATATGGATATTTCCCTTTAAAGACTTGCAGAGCTTGCAATAGAGAAAGAAAACCCCGGACCTCCCTGGTGTCCGAGCGGTGGGTCTCGGGCCAGCACCTCTGTGGCCTGAGTTCGATCCCGGCACAGGGAGTGACCCACCTGGCACAGCCGACCTCGCCTGCCTCCCCGCTGCTCCCCTCAGCATTTCAGTGGAAATGCGTTCCAGTCGCGCCGCCTGTTGTCCCTGATGAATCCTCTCGCACCCCCGGCCCTCCCACCAGCCCCCTTCCCTGCGCCTCCAGCCAGCACCTCCGTTCTTCTGTGCAGAAGAACTAGGGAGAAAATGTCTCACCGCGTGTGTATCTCAGATTTTAGCTAGAACCCCGTAAGTCTTCGATCGTGTTCTAAAAACCGTCCCATTGGCCACCCCAAGGAGCCCCAGGGCCTGCGTCACATATAGAATATGCGTGATTTAAACCAGCTGCCGACACTTTGACTAGGCTGTGCTGCTTTGATGCAGGCGCTGACGAGGCTGTGGCCGGCGGCTTGAAGCTGCTGGCCAGACTGTCGCTCCTCACCGAGCAAGACCTGTGGTCCGTCAACGGGCTTCCGAACGAAAACAACTCCTCAGACCACCTGCCTTTGCTGGCTAAGTTCCGGCTGGAGCTCTGACTCTTCTGTTGTACCTAAACACTTTCCAAGCTGGGTCCTTTTTCACAGACTAGGAAGCTGTTTTTAAGAGTTTTGCATGTTGCCTATTTTTGCGCTGTGGAGCTTCTGAAGGGTATGTTACAAGCTGGAAACAGATCAGAAGAAACAAGTTTACAACTGTTTTTTAATAATGAAAAAAATTATTTTCCTGATGAGTAAGATCTAACTGTTGTTTATTGTAAAAGAATTGTAAATATTTTTTATTCTTTATCTCAGTAAAATTGACAGTGATTTTTAAATGTAGCGCATCTTCTTTAGTCCTCCTGGTGAAGAATTTTATTGCATATTTCGGCAAGCTTTCCTGTGAATCCAAAGTATTCCTCTGAGTTCTTGCAAAGCACAGCACCTCTCCCCCGGTTCATTGAGAGCCATGTTTGATGGCCCCTAGTTAGCCCCTCCCCCCAAATCATTGTATCAGCTGGAGGTGTTCAGCCATCCATGTTAGTGTGGTTTTGAGAGGGCTTGGTAACGCCCTTCAAACTGTACCTACTGCTCGACTCCCCTGTTACGGTGAGCCAGGTGATACGCCTGCATCTGGGAAGTGCGGGCACTCTGGTGGGCGGGGCCTTGCTCAGCCCCGCCCCCAGCCCAGCACTCCAGTGGGCAGGGCCTTGCCCAGCCCAGCACTCCAGTAGGTGGGGCCTTGCCCAGCCCCGCCCCAGCCCAGCACTCCAGTAGGCGGGGCCTTGCCC